TTCTACAATAACTTTGTCTCCCTATCATTATGAATCTTCGAAATCCGAATTCATGAAACACAAACGTTTGAGCCCACATCCAATATTAATTAATTAAGTGTTCTTTTTAATTGTACGTGTGAAACGCATACTTTCCCTATATTTTATATTTTTTTATATAAAGTTTATTTACAAATGTTGATCTGTGTTTGTTGAACATCGGTACATGTTTGTGTGTTCCTCTCTAAGCGAACGCATCTTTGTTGTTTTTTTTTATTTCTTTGATTATATTTATTATTCCATTTCTTGCTTTGTTCACACCTTTTCTACAACTTCTTTCTTTGTTTACATCTATTGTTCAAATTATTGCTTTGTTTACAACTTTTATTCACAGATCGCGACAGCTATAGGTGAGATGTGATTAAATATACTTTTATGTCTAAAAAATATTATTCAGTATTATTTTTGTTTAGGTAATAAGCATTATAACATAGAAAATTGCTATATACTGGAAAAAGGAATTTTCGAAAATGTACACATTTCCTACGTATTTATGGTAATTTTTTTACTTTTATGAAAAAAAATTCTTGTACATGTAGTTATCGATACTATTATACATTAATTACTATTTTATAATTAATAAATATTTGTGCCTAGTTGCTGACATTAATAGCTATCTGCTGATGTGCTAAAATTCTGGAATAATGCAATAATAAAAATTTAAATTTCATCTCTGATGGATGTAGCGATCTGTCAATTTCTTAATTCGTTCACGTCTTTTCTTTAACATTGTTGCGGACCCGGTAGGGTGCAGTGCTGGATTATACTGAGTGGCCTTGTGCCAGACACCACACTAAACTACCGAGTCTACAAGCAAAGTAAAAATAAAATAAAATGCGTGAATGAACAATGAGAGGAAAGGGGTCAATCAACAAGTGCATAAATAAATGAGTTGCCCATCCAGTCCGGTTGAAAGCTAAGAGGCAAACTGGATTGCAAACGTTAGCAGTTTTGAAACGCCGAAAAACGCGCGGGAAAAATTCAAAAAGTCTAATTTGCATAAGTAGAAGTAGCAGCCCGTCTTGACTGCTGACCAAAAACAGTTACTACTGTATTAGACTAAAAGAGACAGAAAGGGGTGTCAAACGCGCGCACACACGCACGAGTGTAAAACAAAAGGGAGGAAACTCGCGCGCGCGTAAAATTATAAATGGAATTAATGTTAATTCCATAACATCTTTTTTCTTTACATCTTTTCTTCAAGTTCTTTCTTTCGTTTACATCTTTTCTTCAACGTTGTCTTTCATGTTTTCTTTTTCTTCTATCTTTTCGTTCTTACTCCATTTTCGTCTTTTACTTTTTCTTTCTTATTTCGATTTCATATTTGTCTTTAACATCTTTCTTCGTTTCCCTCTCTCCTTCTCCCTTCTCCCATCTCCCTGTTCGTTTACATTTTGTCTTCTATCATTACTCGCTACTCATCTTCTGACCATTCTTTGTTTCTTTCCTTCATTTTCTCCTTCGTCTCATTCATTTAACAAACACGAGAACACTTTCATAGTATGTTTCTCATACGGCGAAAGATTACTGCATTACTTATTTTTGACCAGTGAACCTCGGGGCGGTGTAATGGTTAGCAAGCTTGTCTCGCTAGAACAATTACGACTGAGTAGTGAGTTCAATCCTCACTGTCTGGCCCTTACTTTTGACCTTGTGCCACATCCAAGCTACGCTTGGAAAATCACTGCCAGATCTTTGACCGTCCACATAAAACATTGCAAAATTCGTATCTTTATAAACCATTAATTAGTCTAAACTTCTATATTATCAATCCGTTCACGTAAAAGTGAATGTATCTAATTAGAGTTTTAGTTTTACATAAGTTAAAAAGATTTAATGATATATGTGTCCCATTCAACAAGACGGTCAAATATTTCTTAATATAAATTAACTTCTTATCCTCGCCTGAAATTAGTGGTTTTGTCAGAAAGTATCTTTCGGAGTAAAAGGGTTTCAACTACACTGCGTTTTTATGTTACATTTGTCTTTCGTCCATTGGAGGCTAAGCTCTACATTGCTTGTTTAACAATCTTACTACATAAATTTACGTTATGTCAACTTCGAAAATGAAAATGCAAGAGGATTATAAACTTCGCATAGGATGACTTAACCCATCGGCTAAAACACACCGTATCGCATGCTGTTTTTGAAAAAAAGAGAAAAAAAAAGAATAAAAAGGCTCTCAAATGTTGTTCCGTGAACATGCAAATTCGTTTCATTCACAGCCAATCGGAAACGCAACGAGACAAGGAGACTGTTTTAAAAAACATGGGATTTCGTTTTACGCCTGGCCATTTGTAAGTCTCGCAACCGTAAGACTACTTTAAAGAACATGCAAAACCCACTCCATGCAAAACCTTGAAGGGAGATATTTCCCAGTAGACAAGGTACAGAGTAACACTTTTTGGAGTTTTCCTTGCCTCACAAAGCATTCGACAAGTATCTACAAAACGTCTGCCTTAGCTAAATCATCAAAATTCTTTTCGATAACATTTTCGTTCTGTTTAAGTAGTTAATTGAAGTGGAAGTCACACATCAAAGCGACTCACCTAATCAAACTAGATAGCGCCTTGGCATTGTGTTACCGGGATTGTCGGTTGTACACAGTAGCGAGTTCGGTCCTCATTGGACCATCCAGAAGTTTCGCAGGTGAAAAAGTTTTTGATTTCGATATTTAGATTTACTTATGCTTTATAAAACGTTCCCGTCCCTCGGTATGACGATAAACTACATCCGCGTCCTGGCTAAGACGATAAACTACGTTCAACAGCAAAGTTTAGAGGAGCGTGGAACCACCTCTTAATTGCTGGTGTTTCCTGGTCCACCCTGACCCGGGGTGGTAGCATCTGTTAGGGTCCTAGCTATGGGCAAATAGTTAACCCCTAAAACTGGGGTAAAACACTAAAGAAAATGTAAAAATGAGTTTTAATACCAGAAATACTTTGTAAAAAATTATCAGCAATAAATTTTTGAAGAAAAAAAAAACTATTACCATCTATACATTTTTGAAAAAAAAAGAAAGATTACCAACAATACGTTTTTGGAAAAAAAATATTACCCGCTAAACATTTTTGGAAAACATATTACCAGCTGTATAGTTTTGAGGAAAAAAAGTATTACCAGCAATATTTTTTTGAAAGAAATTATTACCAACAATAGACTTTTGACAAAATATTACCAGCAATAAAACTTTTGTCGGCATTAAATAACCCATTGAAGTTGAAATACCGTAAAACAAAACAAACCAACTAACAACCAAGTGAGAAATAAAAAAAAAATACTTTTTACGGAAATAAAACCATACAAGATTTCAAATTGCTTTAAAGAAGATGGATTGTACTCAAAAATATGAGTAATTGAAAAATGATTCTGTGGAGTGCTTGTTTTATTGTAACGATATATATTTCAGTACATAGTAAATCAGAAGCTAATGGTCTTAGTTCTAAATATCGAATAAAAAATCACGAGATAGAAGTACTAAGTTTTTAAAATCGATTTTACTAAAACTGTAGGCATAATGAAATGTACTTTAATTTCACATAAGTATACAATTATCTTCAAGACAAGCTTGTCAAGTTTCGTCCATACCAGGTGCGTAGCAAGTGGTTTATTAAGATCTTGCTTAGTTTTGCATACTGTGAGAACCAAACTCATTCATCATCATCATCGTCGTCATCATCATCATCATGTTTATCTATTTCTCTTGTGACCCTTCATGGAATGGACGAACTTCTTATCCTTCCTAGATCTTAATAAAGGTTGCCCTTTTGCCATTCCCCAGTCCTGTTCCCGCATCCATTTACACAAGGTTGTTAGGGTCGCATAATCGCTGTTTCCTTTTTCTCTTTTGCCTTCAATATGTTCCGTGTGTATCAAATTCTCCAAACCCTCCTTTCTCGTTAAGTGTTCTTCTGGCGCAATGCCTGATGCACACGTTTCAATTGCTGCGAGTATAGGTCTCCAGTGACCGTTTGGCCCGTTGATAGCAGTTCATAATGAACCACTTGACGACCTTTGCACCAGCCACAAAGCATAATCTTGCGTGGGTGCATAGGTGGTCTTGCGGTGTGAGGGACAGCATCCTGAAGAGACAACCAATGTCTGGAACGCTTGGGAGTTTCGTACAGAACCCACTTTTCATCACTGGTAAGCACTCGATTGAATAAGGATGCGGTACGGACGCGAGAAAGCAGTGATACGCAGGCTGCCACTCGTTGTCCTTTGCGGACCTCCAACAGCGTTTGCGGAACCCAATTGCTCAGTTTGTACGTCTTACCTAGGCGATGCAGGTGAAGTCTAACTGTTTCATCGGAAACGTTGAACTGTCTTGCAAGTTCACCATACGTTAGACTACTGTCTTCTTCATTGGCCGCCTTCAGGACTCCTTCATTCAAGACCTGTGATCGTCCACTGCGAGGCTCATCATGGAGAGACAAATCTCCCGACTTGAATTTTCGAAACCATCTCCACAGCACTATCCCCAAACGCTTGACATATGCGGCGACTTGATGCAGCTTCTGATAAGCCCACTTTGAAGTCGTAAAGCAAAAAGTCCCGAACAAGATCTCTAGACACTTCAATCCTTCTCACAGATGTCCGGCTTATAACTGGTGGCCGGGCACGGTGCGCGTGTTTTTTATAACGTCTGATGTTCCTACTTCCGGCTGTCCGAATTTGAAAACAATTGCTACACGCATTTCGTATATATTTCAACTTCATTCAATGACTAATCAAAAAACGGACAGAACTTTTTTGGTTACCTTGTAGTTTGCATCCCAGAATTATCAGCGTGTATTCCTGATGATTCCATTTTATAGCGCAAATAAGCGGTGCCTTTTAGGGATGTGATTCCTAATATTCTTAAAAATGTCTTCGAGTTTGTAAAGCGACTGAAAGTCTTCGTAAGTATTCAGTTTCCGCACGAAAATCGTATCTTATTAGAGCAAACAATGATTAACCAATCAGAATTCACGGAACGATATACACGGCTGCTGACTGTTACTTCCATGAGTTTGTGTCCAAGGCCGATGGCATCGTATAGAAATATTTGCACATAGATGCGGAGACAAATAAAAAATAGATGAGTGAGAAACAAGTAGTTTACAGATATTTGAATGAAAGAGAAAAAACTTAGTAGGTCGAGGAAAATGGGTGGGAAGGTTGAAGAAAGAAAGAAAGAAAAAAAAAAGAAAGAAAGAAAAAACTCGGTGAAGATAATTAAAAGAAAGACAAAGATGGAAAAGTAAAGAGGAATGAAAGAATGAATAATGGGAAAAAAGAAAGAAAGAAAGAAAGAAAGAAAGAAAGAAAGAAAGAAAGGAAGCATTTGAAAATAAATAAATAGGGAGGGAAATAAATGAAGCTACGGACGGGAATGAAGATACAAAGAAGGAGAAAAGAAAGAAATTAAGAAAGAAAAACGAGAGAATTATTGTAAAAATAAAATAAAAAAAATTGAAAAAAATACTGAAGTTAGAGAAGACGAGGAGGAAAAAACTAGAGAAAATATTACAGGAAAAGCGGAAAAATGAAAACAGATGAAGAAAGAAAAAAAAAATTTAAAAAGGAAAAATAAAACATTAAAAAGGGTAAAAAAATCAAAGAAAGAATGATTAAAAAAAAAAAAAAAAGAAGGAAAGAATGAAAATATGGAAAAATTCCTTGCGAACCGAACCAAAAAATGTGTTGCTAATTTATTACCGAGACTTTACGAATTTAAGCGCAATACCAGATTGGCAGTTAGGTCTCATCATTTTACAGTTTGAATTGCTAGTGGAAAATCAGAAGTCATCATTATCTAACAATTTCTTCTCTGGAACTTCTCGCTTATGGAAGTCTCTTCCGGTTTCTTGCTTTCCAGACAACTTTAATTTTTTATAGATTAAATGCAATGTCAATCGTCATCATCTTTCTTTTTAATCCTTTTCTTTTATTGCCTTCACATCTTCATCATTCTTTCTCAGATACCTTCATAACTCAGTCCCCACCCCCGCATCTTAGTGCCTTTATACACTTGCTAGTGTGAAACGAACAAAAATGTAAAAAAAATGTGAGTTTATACGACAGTGAAAATGAGCACAAAAAAGTATTAAATATAAGAAACGCTCAAATGAATATTTATATCTGTGAAAAAGGTTTCAAGGAAACTGATATATATATAATGAACTAATCTAATAAATGATGATATCCATTTTCCTTAAAATCTCAGCCGTTCTCCTTTTATTAAATTATTTGACAATGTACTAGTGGCTCTAGTCAAGGTTTTCTTTCAGGCAAACAATATGGCTTTCGCTTTTCTAGGTTAAATGTTGATGGGTTAACGGTTATTACTGAAAGACTCTGCTATGCTTTAGATAAGAATATTGAAACTCGGGTTGATGCTTTGGGCATCTCGAAGGCGTTCGACGGGGTTTGGTATAAAGATAAGGCATGTAGTAGAAAGGGTGACCTAGTATCAAACTTTCGGAGGCGGGACCAAGAACTTAGGGCTGGCCCTGAATGGAATAACTATTTTGAATCAATTGTTAGGTCTGCTGCTAGGAAAGTTGGTTCACTGTGTCGTACTAGACAAGTTTTCTCGACAAAATCCACCTTATTCTACGATTCGTTAGTGCACTGAATATTGCTGCTGCATCTAGTCTGCTGTTTCTGTTATGTATCTCGAGATTCTTAAAAAAAATCCAAAGAAGAGTCTCCAATAATGTCTGACCTCCCATAAAATCTCCGTTTCACTCACTTTCACACCGGTTTAACGAAAATTTCCTCCGCTTTATCTATAAATCTTTTAATAGCAACTGTACGTAAGAATTTTTCTCTTTGATTCCCAAATTCATGAATTTAAGTGCAGTACTATTGGTAGTTTGGTCTCATCATTTTACAGTTGAACTTGCTAAATCTAACCGCATTTTGTATTCTGATAATTTCTTCTCGCACTTCTTGCTTGTGCGACGCACTTCTGACTTCTTGCTTTCCCGTCATCTATGGTTATTTCTTAAGCGTTGTTTGAGTGTGGTACAAGGCCGAATGTATGGGGAAACAATTGAAGTTCGAACTCACTGTGCAGTCATAAATGATCTCCTGAGACAAGCTTACAAGCCATTAAACTATGTTGAAGCGTTTCCTTTCCTGTCAACTAAGATCTTCAAAATTATAATGACCCCTTGAATCCTGTTCTTTTATTGTCCGCTCTCTTCAATTAGGTTTTCTCTGTTTCTTTAAACATCAGAAACCCTAGCGTCTTAGTGGCTTTATTCGCTTCAATGATGTGGGGATTATTATAAAACGCCGTTTAGATTGCTGATTGTGCTATTTATTTGATTATTCAATAAAAGTAAGACGAGTTATTTATGGTTGGCGGATTTTATGCTATTATTACGTAATTGTTTTCTTAACAGGTTTTTCAGGGGGACCTAATTTCATTAATATATTGGATGCTTTTTACACTTTATCCTTCATCATCGTTCCAAATCTCTGCGTTCCTATTTTTTCTCTTGTTCATTCGGTGTCTTTTCATCTTAATTATCTTCTCATCAAATTTATTACAGTTTTTATTTTGTTTACTTCCTAATTATTGGCTTTAATTAATTAAGTCAGGAGAAGATGGCAGTAGACTTGCCGTTTAGGCTCGCACTTATAATTGAAGGTACGAGGTCTGTTTGAAATGTATTCAGCCATTTTGAGAACAGTTCACTCGAGCTTGATGTCACTTGGACTCCGATTAATGGGGACCTTATTGCGACTGCGTGAACAGAAATTCCCCAGTTGTCACTAAAACATCTTTGAGCGTAGTGTGTAATTCTTATATTCATAATGACTGAAACAATTAACTGTTTACGCCTCAAGCAAGCCATTCAACAAAATATCGCGTGACTGAGATCTTTCAGCCTCGTTTCGACATTTCAGAAAAACACGATGCAGTAACTGATGCCAACCTTTAGAGAAGATCTGTAGACGGTTCATAATGTAGAAACTACAATCACATTGAAGTGGTTTATGATGATAATAATAGTTTTCGTTAATATTAAAAGCTTGGAAATTTCCAGATACATTTTTTACTAGCGGTATAACCCATTTTGGACTGGGTCTTTCATTACTGAGAATTTTTGCCGTTCACTTGCAGTAGTTTAAGTTTAAAATCAGCCCACCCAAAAATCAATATTAGTAACAACAACTGGCTGCAACTGAGACATGTCTCCAAATGGGGGGGGGATTAACAATTTGAAGTGGGGTGGCCCTGAAAAGAGAACTGTATAATAAGAAATAATATTATTGTAATAATTTAAACTATTTTTTTTTTTAAGCATTTCACCCCAAGCAAGGCGGGAAGCCACTAGGACGCAAGGGGTTACAGAAAATAGGAAGATCAGATAGGAGTGATAGAAGAAAGGATGAGGGTAGTAGATAGATTAAGGCAACTGGAGAGGTCGATTGACATTACACTTGAATAGCTGGAGATTATAACTCTCAGGGAAACAGGAGAAGGGAAGAGAGTTCCCACAGGCGAGAGGTGCGAGACATGAAGCTATTAGAGTAGAAGAGACGGCTACATTTAGGAGTTTCGACAGTGAAGGGGTGAGAGCGGGATGCCAGCCTCGTAGGGCGCTTGAACTCATGAAGTTTGGGAACCAGCGAATGCAGTTCCTCGGGCAATTTCCATGAAAGTATTTGTAGAACAGACAGAGGGAGGCGACGGTGCGTCTGTGAGAAAGTGACTGTAGACGAGACGCCAGGACAGGGCCAACAATATTGCATATCCGCTTCTGGAGCCTATCAAGAACCTCGAGGCAAACAGAAGGGCGCCAGACCATATATGGCAGCAATACTCCATGCAAGGGCGAAATGTGGATTTGTATATCTGGAGGATCGACTCAGGGGGAAAAACTTCCTAGCACGGCTCAGGGGAGCCAACTTTCCTCGCAGTGGACGAGGCAATTGACTCGATGTATTTATTCCATCTCAGGTCAGCAGTCAACGTGAGACCGAGAAGCCGCAGAGAGTTGCTCTCGAGAAGTTGAGCGTCAGACATTCTAATGGAGGGAAGGGAAGGCTCTCTGTGGTGATTAATAGAGAGCAGTTTTGTCTTCGAAGCGTGTCCCAATGATTCTACTTATTTGATAGTTTAGTAAGAAATCCCGGTCCGAAATGTTAACAAAGGAAAAAAAAAAAAACTAGAAAAATGGAAAATTGAATGTCTTTGACTAGATGCGAAGGTGTCTCGTCAGTATCCTAACGATTATTTTTATTATAGTCTTTATAAAAGATATATATCCAAGAATTAGATAGTAAATAGAAAAACGTTGGTGAGAGTTATAATGGACAGGAAGTAGGGGAGAGCCATTGTTGCCAACAATTTGAACTCAAAACCGGCAGTGAAGAAGAATCTATCAAAAAAAAAAAAAAAAATCGAAATCGGATAAAGACTGTGGAAATGCATAAACATCCGATTACACACACACGCATATATATATATATATATATATATATATATATATATATATATTGAGAATTATAGATATAGATATAATTAATTATATAAATTAGACTTTATAATAATAAATAATATTATTGTAATAATTTAAACTGATTATTTTTATTAAAGTTTTTATGAAAGATATATATCCAAGAACAGATAGTAACAAGTAAAACATTGCTAAGAGTTATAATGGACAGGAAGTAGTGGAGAGCCATTGTCGCCAACAATTTGGACTCAAAACCGGCAGTGAAGAAGTATCTATCAAACAAAAAAAAAATCATGAAAATCGGATAAAAACTGTAGAAATGCATAAATAACATCGGATCACACACATGCGCACCCACACAGACATTTTTACGAATTATTAGATATAGATAATTCTCTAAGTCTTATGTGACGTCTTTCTGAAGACGTTGGAGGTCATAACACTCCCAAATCCGAATACTTTGTTGATTTTCTTAGTTTTTCTACATTATCAGCATGCATTGTCTTTGTGGAATTCAAATCGGCTACTCGTTGCTTTTTGTAGCAAAGGAATACAAAAGGAAATAAAACTGAAAAAAAACATTTAAATGTTATAACCCGGGGTGGGAAGACATTGAAACGTTAAAGGCAGATCTTTATAAGTAAAAAAAAATGTTCATCAACCCTTGTATAATGTAGTCAAGACAATACAGAACAAGCCTGCAGGATAAGACGTCTGGAAGAAACAGCACATCTGCGAGGCACGAACAATTTTCTCAGTAGACGTAACATAGAGATGATTAGCATATGGAAGCATCTCATTAAGAAAGGATAATTTCCTCACCTGAGTCAGCTCACCCAAACAATGTCATCCCTTGGGTACAGACATTATGTTTAATGTCCTACAATTAAAACAGTATTGACTAAAAGTCAGAGAATATTCTGTAAACCACTTTTAACATGTTCGGTTGTCTACATTACCTTCTCCATAAACTGCGCTGTCCTTAAACATTACTAATCAAAATGCAAATAATTTAGTTTATTATTTACATTAGTCTCTGGTAGGTTAAATGAAAGAAATTTCACAATCATCATAAGGGCTGTCATAATACAATTCAAAGCATTCATTTTAAATAAAGTTATTTGAAACGAAATAGATTCAATGGCATCTGTACCTCGGTTTGAGGGAATGGTTAGAGATTCTCCTGTAGTTGGTTATTAATAAGTTGTGATTTCTTTAACACTGGATTCTCCATGAAACATTCGGCTTTAAATAACCCTAAAATCACTCCTCCTTACCCATCTGCCTATCTTTATTTATATTAGTCTGTCGCTTGTTCGTATCTATCTATCTATGATATTCTGTTCGTATCTATCTATCTATCTATGATATTCTGTTCGTATCTATCTATCTATCTATCATATTCTGTTCGTATCTATCTATCTATCTATCTATCTATCTGTTGTGGAGTATTTTCACAGTGGAGGCTTGTATTTCTAATAAGTCGTACAGAACGTTAGGAACTTGGAATACAATAGTCAATGACGCAGCAAATCTAGTTGTGATGGTTGGTACTTCAAATGTCCGAATCTCGACTGACGTTCTCAACACCGTTCGGTATTTATCATTTCACCCACAAGAAACGAATATGGCACAAGGCCGGTTTTATTGTGGGTTTCTCTGAGCCCGTAGGCTCGGCCAAAAAATAGCCTTTGAAGCCGATTAGACGGGTTCAGGCCTGTCTACCTCCCGGACGAAACCTTTGCCCTTCGGCAAAGCCTCGTCCGGGTTCCTCTCTGCTAATGCAGAGTTCGACAGAAGGCGTGCGCAGTCAGAGACTTCTCAACACCGTTATATTTATTTGCATTTAAAATACAAAATACGGCACAAGGCCAAAAAGGGGGATGGGGAATGACGGTCTTCTTCTGTCTTTAATCTAAAACTTAGCTAGTCACAGACACTGACCCAAACATGCCAACAATAATCCAATCACCAAAAAATCACATTCACTCCTACCTTTCTTACTACGTCCACCATAATACCTCAGTTTCTCTATGACGTCCTAACTAGTTCCCTTATATACAGATATTGTTCATGGGGGGAGGGTCATAAAATAACAACTTTTTAAAAGCCCCAAATGAATATTTACAACATGAATTAATTATTTACAATAAACTAAACAAAACTGAGTTAGTAATAACTCCCCCCCCCGCCACAAACTATGAATGTGGCAGAAATATCAGTTAACCGGACGAAATCGATGCGGGACTAAGAAAATGAGTACACATTCAAACCATCAAGCATTCACACAAACACTCACTCATTCATACACAACAACAAATACGAAAACACACACACGAAACGAAAGGCGCCCCGCATCCACCAGAAAACTGACATCACTAACCAGCTAACGAAGGGAGGGGATGGGGAATTAAACAAAAGAAAAAAAAAATAGGGACAGAAATAAAAGGGACCAATGAGCTTACATACCCTAGCTAAGTTAACCGGGGAAAAAAAAGAAACTAAAAATTCAAAATGAAATCCTAGACTAGCCTAATATCCGGGTGGGTTGCCTATGTTCAACCCTGTTAGGACAAAATTCTGTACCTAACCGACATCCAAATGCCACTCTAGGTCAGCCCCTTTCACTCTACACATTCGCGCAAGATTCACCCACCTTTTTCCGAATTCTGATGATGGGAGACGCCGCCTTTCCGTCCTAATCTTGACTTTAAGCTGATGCTTAAAGTACAAGATCAGTTGGGAAGAGGTGAACTTCTCGCCATCATAGAATCCTTTCTGTCGCGTCGTCCAAATCACGACTCGCATAACCCCTAGTAAGCAACAGAACACATAGTGTTCAGCCTTCGTCAATTGCGATACCACATTGCTACAAACAGAACTGGCTTCCAGGACCTGCAGCATGCGAACCATGAGGCCTTCAACAAACTTGCACAACGGCATTACCGTCTTGCACTGAAAAAAGGCGTGATCAATGGTCTCGACATTCCCAGTACAGCGACGACAGTTTGGATATTTCTCCAAGCCTGCTGAACAAAGTCTTTTGCCGACCCAGAGGGCCCCACGAATCATCAGCCAGGTGAGTGATGCCTCATCGTTATTGAGACATTTCAACCCAGGCGCCCAAGGCCATATCGAGCGAGCCTCCTGCTTCGTAAGACCGAGCTCGTCGATCAGACCATCTTGAACGGACCCCCTAACTAACAAACGATATAATGCATTACGAGACAACGCTTGGGCGTCGGAGAGGCCATCCGACGTCCGCAAGAGGAGCTTCAAAGCACGACGACATTCGCGGTAGAAGGAGCACTCGACACGAGGTGTACGGCCGGCCTCCTCCTCGCACGAGTGCACACTTCTCAGGGATGGGAAATGTTTTCGGACATCTTCTTTCCAAAAGGTGCCCACCTCATCCAAACCACGACACATTCGGTCTAGAAAGGTAATGCGAAGCATATATTGACGAATCTCAATGCTAGGCATACCCAGACCGCCCTCAGAGGGATGAAGGCAACAGATCTCGCGACATACCATATGGGCCTTGCCTCTCCACAAGAAAGAGAACAAGGCCTTGACTAATGACATTAGTCGGGCATACGGGAGTGGAAGCACAGAAAGTCGGTAGAGGAGGATCGGATAGATGTGTGAAACACAAACTTCCGCCCTTCCCTTCAGGGAAAGTCTCCTCCGAGACCACAGATTACCCGCGGCCTCGGCCCCGCCCTTGTACCTCCGACCAATTCTTTTCCAACTGGAGATCAGGACCGAACCAGACGCCGAGTATCTTGATCGGCCCATCCGTCCAGAGGAAAGGTCCGGGAAGAGAAACTCCCTTCCACGCACCCAACCGCAAGCCCACAGACTTATCGCGGTTGATCTTGGCCCCTGTCACCATCTCATACCCACTGATCTGCTTGCTGACTTCGTTAATCTCCGTTCTGCTCGACACAAGAACCGAAACGTCGTCAGCATAGGCAGAATACCTGGCCGAGGTGGAAGCACCAGGCAGCGAAATTCCGCGTAGGGACCGGATTCGCCTTTAACTTGCGAAGGAATGGCTCCAAGGCAAGAACGTAAAGCAGAGGCGATAGCGGACAACCTTGACGAATGGAGCGAGACAATACGAAAGGCTTCGATCTTACCCCATTCACTTCCACCAGCGCACCGGGGTCGCATACAAGAGTCGGATCCAGGAGCGAAAGTCGGCTCCGAAACCGGCCGCCGAAAGGACAGCCTCCAGAAATCGATGGTCAACCCTATCGAAGGCCTTGGACTGATCTAAATTGATCAGCGCGGCTTCACTGTCGACTTGTTCTAAGATCAAGCGTACCATATGAAGGTTATCCTGAATAGTCCTGCCCTTCACAGCACAAGTCTGTTCAGGACCAATCAGACTAGACAGGACAAGCTGCAAACGGTTGGCTAAGATCTTCGCCAAAATCTTTAAGTCAGTGTTTAACATCGTTAAAGGGCGAAAGTTCCCTAACCCATCCCCACCGTCCTTGTCCTTACGCAGCAACTTGATGGCACCCCTGGTGAAGCGTTGAGGTAAAGACCCCTGCCTCATCCAGTGGTTGTACATCAGTTCCAGCAAAGGAACAAAAACGTGCGACAACCTCAAGTAAACTTCGTAGGGAAGACCATCTAATCCCGGAGACTTATCCAGGCCAACCTGCTTCAGCGCTTCCCAGATTTCCGACTCTGTTATGGGACCCTCGCACCTAGCCACTTCAGCTGCCGAGAGGCAGGGAAAGTCAGCTAAATAGGCGTCGAAGTGAGCAGAGCTCAGACCGGGCTCCCTGGTGAAAAGATCCTGAAAGTAATCCCGAAAGACCTCACATATGCCCGCGTTTGTAGTCACGGTCCGCTTATCCGGTAATGTGACGCACGCTATATGTCGCCTAGACGCGTTTCGATTCTCCTCTACACGCAGTTCAGCGGCCATATTCGTAGCCTCAGAAGACATTCTTTTTAACCTAGCCCTAACTACCAGAGCTTGATCCTTCTTGATAAGCAAGGAGGCTAACTCTGCCTTAGCTAAAGCTATGTCCCCACTAACACGGGATTTCACTGCCCGATCGACTTTATCTTCTAAAGCAGTTTGCGCCGCTAATCTATCTAGATTGAGTCGACGACTAAAATCGGCAGCAAACGTTCGAATTTTAGATTTTAAATTGCCCCACCAGGTATTTCCCACAACCGCCGCCGTCAATTCCCTTTGTATTGTTAGTAGCAGCTCGTCCCGGAAACCCTGATCACCAAAAAGTGAACAGTTCAATTTCCAGTAGCCAGCCAATCTAACCTTAGGCTTATCTAAGTTTACACGGACCCGGACCAGCCTATGATCCGTATGAACTATATAATGGAAACTTGGACACCCTAAGAGCCCTACATCGACTCTCCTAACTAAGACTCGGTCCAGGTAGCTCGCAAGCGAGCCAGGAGCCGAGTTGCCACTATTTGTCCAAGTCCATGCTACCTCCCGAGGATGTTCATTCCGGAACTTATCGACAAGATCGAATCCATCGATAAAGTCCCGAAATGGTTTCACATCCGGGTTGTTAGTACCTTGTTTGTGCCCTATACGATCTATATCGGGGTCAAGGACGGCATTCCAATCCCCTGCTAAAACTACCCGACGAGACGTCGTCAAGAACGGCGCGACCTGCCGAAACAAAGCAGGCCGCTCGGAATCGTTATTGGGCGCATAAACCCCAATGAGACGAAGAACCTTATCATTTATGGTAACATCAAGCACGCAAAGCCTGCCCGCCGGATCCGCTAAGACAAGGGTACATGCAGCCTTCAAAGACCTGCTCACTAGTCAAGAGACACCCCTCGAACAACCATCAAAACATGCTGAATAAAGGGCGAACCCCCTAGACAGTATGTCCTCACGATCATGAGAAGAAAACCGGGTCTCTTGTAAACAACATATATTCACCCTGGAGGCGCTGAAGGTCACGAGAGAGCCTCGCCCTGCGAGACTCGGGCCTCAGGCCCCGGGCATTCAAACTAGCTAACCAAAGTGCCATTGTGAAACCGATTAGGTTGCCCTTCAGGATAGAACATGGCTGGGGTGAGGACACCGACAGCCTGTCCCAACGAACCAGACATCATCTCAGTATCGAGCGTGTCATCCTGGGACAAGCCGCCGATGTCCGCAGGATAAGTTAGTTTAAGGGCTCTATAAAGGGATGGGTGAACTAAAGAGGGACCCTCCTTTACATTTCTTTGTTTCATCCAAGTTCTCTTCGATGAGGACGGCAGCTGGGGGCACCACTTTCAAGGACGACTTTGCCTCCTCTATCATGCCCCAAATCTCCCGCGTACCCGGGCCAGTTCTAACGACAGTCAGCAGATTTCGGGCCTTCTTGAAATTCTCCGGCACCTCCACATCCACACCCTTGATGTGCCGGAAATTCCACAAGATTTTCAAGGGCTTCGG